GGAGAAAGGAAAGGCTACCCACTCCAGTGTTCTGGCCTGGAACATTCCATGGACTGTACAGTCCATGGGGTCACAAAGAGTCAGACACAACTGAGTGACTTTCACTTTAAACTATCAAGGATATGCATGGAATAACAACATATTCAGGCATACAAATACTTTTTGAAAATGCATTATTTGTGTACCCTTTCTTGTGAAAGTTACCCGGAGACAGTATTTCAACTACAGAAGGGGGTAAACTGAGAAACAGGATGACTTAAAACACATAAAACAAGAAACTCGAATAGGAGCATGCATAAGTGAATCAGCCAAGTCAGAGATTAGCCAGGCTAGACATGTCACCAGGCAGGGTGTATCTAGGAAAATAATTTAAAGGAACTAATGATTTACTGATATGTTTCACTATTGAAAAAATATTATTAATGGGTATTTGACAGAACTGTTTGAACGTTTGAGGGAAAAAATGTTGCTTACCTAGAAAAATAAACTATTAAAAAAGCAAGATTAATTCTATAAATAATAAAAGATTTTTACAAGAAAATTAATTTAAGCAGAATAATGCTTGTCTCAGTATTGAACAATGTTTCTATAATCATTATAATGTAAATGAACTACTGACTAATGATTTAACCAAAATTGTTATAGAGGAGGATGAGGTGGGTATATTGGATTGTATAAGAGAGATAAATCACTACCTTTTTTAATATAGGAAATCAACATGCATGAGTTCTCAATCACTCAGTCATGTCCAACTCTTTGCAACCCCATGGACTGTAGCCCGTCAGGCTCTTCTATTCATGAGATTTTCCAGGCAAGAATACCATAGTAGGTTGCCATTTCCTTCTCCAGGGGATCTTCCCTACCCATGGATCAAATCCTCGTCTCTTCCATCTTCTGCATTTACCACTAGTGCCACATAGGAAATCAATAGATGAAGCTTATGTAGCAAAATAAAAGGATAGCATGATAAAAGTTAAAGTTACCCAGTTGTGTCTGACTCTTTGTGACCCCATGGACTGTAGTCTACCAGGCTCCTCTGTCCATGGAATTCTCCAGGCCAGAATACTGGAGTGGGTAGCCGTTCCCTTCTTCAGGGGATCTTCCCAACCCAGGGACTGAACCCAGGTCTCCCACATTGCAGGTAAATTCTTTACCATGTGAGCCACCAGGGAAGCAAGTATGTTATTTTAAAGTAAGAATATAAATATCAGGGATGGATACTATGTGCCACGGGCGATTTGGCTTAGAGATGGGGGAGGGGAAGAGCACATGCACTGCCTTTCTGTTAGGAGCAACTGAGTACTATTTGACAAATTAGGCACATTACTTTGATAAGAAAATCTAATAAATGATGAAAAGAAATGACTAATAAGAAAATTGTGTGCATTATAGATTATAAGTGAACAGTAGTCTCTGTTTCTCCATATCCCCTCCTTGGTAGTGTTCTCCTGAGGTAGCCACCTTTAATCATTTCTACTTTTAGTTATTGAGATTTTTGGATGATATCACTGATTCAATGAACATGAACTTCGTCAAACTTCTGGAGATGGTGAGGGACAGGGAGGGCTGGTGTACTGCAGTCCATGGGGTCACAAAGAGTTGGACATGACTTGACAATTGAACAACTTTTTGTTATTCTGGCGGTTACCGGACTCATCTTTACCCAGTTAGCCAGAAGATAGCCATATCAAACTGCACTGTACATTGCAGGTTAATAGAGTACTTTGAGAATAGAGTACAATTGGCCTATGACTGTTGTGGTTTTTCATCCCTGAGCCACTGTATACAGCCAAGGAAGCAGCCCTGACCTAGTTGGGCAAAGCAAAGGGTTATCCTGCCAGTGGGAGTATGGCATTTCTGGCAAGAGATTCCTCTTCTAACTGTTGGAGTTGGTGCCATGGCAGATTTTCCTGACTCGGGGAGTAAGTGTTGAGCCCTGGTCCAGCTGGTTCGATTATTTGTTGATTTTGATTATCTGCACCAATAAGCTGTTTCTCTGGCACAGATAATCTGAATCAGGCAGTAACTTTCCATCTTCCTAACAAAAATGCTTTTTGCATTTTGAAATTATAATAAAGTTTTATTCAGTGTCCTCCAAAAGAGTGCTTATCCAGAAATATTATTGAATTAAATTAGGAACTCTTTAGTGCTCAGGGATAACCATAAATCCTTAGGCAGGTCTTTTTCCTTTACTTATATTTTTGCTCTTCTTGAAAGGTAGAGAAAAAGCAGCAGTAATGATACCAGCTGTTTTTTATTCAGCTCTTGCTATATCCTAGGCACTCTGGTAAGTATTCACCATTTCATTTTGTCTTCCCAATAGTTTTAGGAGCTTTCTAGAGTTGTCACTCCCATTTTAGACTGAAGAAACTGGTAAGAGTTGAGTGACTTGTCCAAGGTCACAGAGCTGAAGAGTGCCAGAGCTGTGTCTGAGCCCTGATTTGTGTTAATCCTTGGGCCCATGTTCTTTATCTCTCTGTTTGACTGGATTTCAGTGCAGCATCTGATTTTTTATTACATGAGACTAAGAAAACAGCTACTTTATACATAAAACCCGATTGTCAATATAAGGTTACATATGTTATTGTTGTTGGACCGTGCTTATAAAAATTGTTACACCTTTTCTTTTGAAGGAAGTTTAGAATTTTATACATCTTCTATTTCTGTCACTGTGTCGTGTCCTCTCAACTCAAAATTCTGGAGTCATCTTTGTTATCTTCTGATATCTATCCTTTTATTTACATATACTCATCATATTCTGTTTATATTTCTGTCTTAACTGTCATTACTTTTTATATTTGGAGTATTGCAGCCATCTTTTTGTGGTCTACTATTACTGCCAGTCTCTACTGTCTTAATGATCATACACATTAATCCAGTATTTTGAAGCTCAGCTTCTCTCATGTTGCATACCTGTTTAAACCATTATTTCCTTGTTATCTACAAGGAAAAATACAGCTTTATAAATCTAGAATTTAAAATGTTTGATAATTGGTCTAATCTATCATTCCATGAGTTTATGTGGCCTTACCTTCTTTCCCACTTTTCTTGCCCATGCTAGTATATCCTTAATCTGGCCTACTGAAGCACAGATTTTCTCTAAGACTCATTTGTTGTTTTTTACATGCTTCGTATTTTGGTTGTCTTTTTGTGTGTGTTTGTCTCATTTATTCAACTGAATTGCTAAGTCCTGAGTGTGGAGGTGAAAACTGAGTCCATCATAATATTTAGCATAGTTTCTTGCATATAGCACTGTGTAAAAATATTAATGGATAAATTTTTGTAATTTCCTGGTGGTTCAACGGTAAAGAATTCTCCTGCAACACAGGGGATGTAGGAGACATAGGTTTGATCCTTGGGTCAAGAAGATCCCCTGGAGGAGGGCATGGCAATTCACTCCAGTGTTCTTGCCTGGAGAATTCCATGGACAGAGGAGCCTGGTGGGCTATAGTCCATGGGGTTGCAAAGAGTCAGACTCAACTGAAGTGACTGAGCATGAGGAAGAGCAAAAAAAAAATTAATGGATACATTTTTGTAATTTTATAATTAACATATAATTCTGGTTCTACTTTGCTTTTTTGTTAATTTCATAAATGTTAGATCAAACTTAGTAGGCTAGGCTTTTCTCTTATGTTTTTCTATCTTTTTAATTATATTGCATAATGAGATAGAAATGTATTGATAAAACTTTAACAATTTAAAATATTTTAAACAAATCAGTTTCACTTAGTAATCTAATCTGAAAGATATAGAAAATCTACTATGAGTGAAAGCAATATGCTCGTTATTACATAATTTTTTAAAAATGGCTTATATGTTGTTTTATTATATGGTAATATACAATTTTGATGGAGATAAACTGAATATTTGTAGTGCAATAAATGTTGAAAAATAAACAATTTATCCTGCCTGATATATTCAGTGTAGTTGTAGATTGTTCAGAATACTGAGTAATAACATGAAGAAATTTGAAATGTACTTAAATACTAAGTTTAAAACTCTACTTAGACATGGTTTTGTTTTCCAAGAGTGGACTGCATTTTTGTTATAAAAATTGCTTCTTGCTTTCTACTGAATTGAAAATATTTCAGTCTTTACTTTCCCCTATTTTGTTTTTCTTGTTTTAGTGGTCTGAATATTTATCTCTTCTATTTTCTTTTTTTAAAAAATTATGGATGTTCTATAATAAATAAATATTTGTACTTTAATGTGTAAATTATTTAAACCATGTTCTATGTAAAGTATTTTTGCTTTGAAATATTTGAGTTACAGTAAGAAAGTATAATTTCATACTGAAACCAAAGAATAAGCTATTATAGATTTTTATATATTTTGATGTTTATATTTGTTAATCTCAGAGTGGTTTTATTGCCTTTTAAATGCAATTTTAATGCAGTATTATTTTAGCTCAGCAATGTCATACATTCAAAATTCTTGAAATTTCTCATGTTTTATTTTTTCCTAAAGTATTTTTTTCCAAATAATAGTGTGCATCATAATGATGTCTTCTTTTACACCTTATATTTTTCTAAAAGTTATCTTAAATTATTTTACCATTTAATTTGATTTTCAAAACATCCAAATGTAACCATAAATGTGTCTTTTAAAATCAAGTCTCACATTTGATGTAAATCACTGCATATGTCTGATCTTATCTCACAAACAAAACTGTTATATTTAAAAAGTAGTGACTTTTTAAGTTTGTATTATTTTTTAAAGAGACTGAGCCTTAGATTCAAAGCACAGATTATCCATTTTGACTATCCTCATTTAATCATTTCATTTTTAAAATTAGACTGCATCTTACGATCCAAAAAATGCTCACTAATGTGCATTTCTGGCTGGGTAAATTCCCTTTGTCATAAAGTGGAAGCTAGCCTAAATTTTCTAATAATTTTTCATCATATTGAAATTCATGGCAAAAATAAAAATGAGTTAATTTTTATTTCAAGTGCATATATTTTATAGTGATACTCTTCACCCTCTTCTTTCTGCCTAAGGAAATAGAGAAATTGAGTTTAGAACTGAGTGAAAGCAAGCAGCGCTTGGAACAGCAGCAGGAGAAGGCAACCCGGGCCAGAGAGGAGTGCCTGAAACTGACAGAACTGCTGGGCGAATCCAACCACCAACTGCACCTCACCAGGTACTGCCTAATCCCATTATGCACCGCAGCACCAATTTCATCCCTCGGATTTTTGCCACAGGCTTCCAAACAGTTGTTAGAGTTAAGTCTTAGTCATTCAATTCACACACAGTTTTTAGGCATATTAAGAAAAGTGGAGATGTAGTAAGCAAAACACCCAGACATGTGAATGATAAGTGTGGCAGGGAATTACTGATAGATTACAAAACCTTTCATCTACAATGCTCAAATATTTAGGTGATTCTCTATCAATATAAGCAAAATGACATATTTCTTTTACCACAGCCACTACCTCTCCTGTTAATTTTATGTCTAATAAAAATGTCGAACTGAAGTATCTGAGGAATATATTTAGGAAAATAGTGAGATACTGTCAGTGGTGAAAGAGACAAAACAAAAGACATCCTAAGATGCAAAATGAGGTGGCAGAGCTACAAAATAAGGAACCTGAGTCCTAAGGAGGTGTAAGAGTTAGACATGGGACTGACTGATGCTGTTCATGTTAAGCCACTACTATAACCGTGCTTATACCATCGTGCTTTCAAACTACATCACTTCCATCATGAGATATTGTGACGTGAGAGCATCATTGTCATAAAACTTTAGTGAACACATAGCTCAGCCCTAAATTACGATAATACATTTTAGGTAGTAAACATTGGGAAATTTGTTATATTGAAAACATACAATATGCATAAATATACAGACACAGAGAAAAATTCAAACTGAGATTGTAGGTGTTTCACAGTACCATATAAATGGTTTCTTTTCCTTTCAAGTTTTAGTACAGTTTTTCAGTTTTCAGATCAAGCCTTTGGGTTTGTTCAATTCTTAGAGTTTTTCAGCTTTTAGAGAGAACTTTGTCTAAATACCTACATAAGTTTATAAAATCTGGTTTATTCATAAATTAGAAAAACGCTGGTCTTCTAATCATAGTAAAATGTTGAATTTAAACTATGAAAGGGGACTGATCCCTTTTACATTAAATATGACAATGTAATTCTGAGCACGGTATGATAACAGATGGAGAAAAGCACCACTTGAACAGCCTGCATTTGGAGAAAAAAAATATTCTAGAGGTTGTTGAACCTCCCAAAGTTTTCGGTTAGTGTTAAGATGCCTCTAGTTCTGTTAAAATGAAACTTTGTTAAAAACATTTTGTTATGATAATATTCCAAATGGTTTGCCAACTTCCCTTTTAAACAATGAAAGAAAAGAGAAGAAAGGAGAAGAGAGAAAGGAAAAAAATGAAAGAAAGAAAAAAAATAAATTATTTATACACATGTGATATCTGGAAAAATCCCAATAGTTGAAACACTTTATTGAGAAAAAAATTGCTTAATACTGCAGAATAATAGCCATTCTTTTAATGCCCATTTAAAGTATTTCACTATAGAAGTGAGAACATAATGTTAACAAAGTTCCTATGGTTATTTAATCGTAGAAGTTTCAGAATTTAGCTTGATCATGATATTTAATAGTTTTTCTTCTCTGTCAGACTTCTATTGAGAGCCAACCATTTGTGTGCTAAGTACTACTAACCCACAGAAATAGGACAGCTTTTAATGTCTCAGTGTGGCTGAACTTCAATAAATAAATATTAATGCTGCTTTTGCCCGCTTTGCCATTCTGTCTTATTCAGAGAGTTAGTTTCTGAAGTCAAAGCCATAGAGAGTTCTCCTGTGCTGTATCAATTTGTACTGTCTGACGAGATCCATTTCTTGCAAGTGGAGCATATTAAGATGCAGCAACCGCTGAAAATGGACTGGTGGTAACTAATTCCTTTGTTCTTAAGAGAAACGGTTTTGCTTGGTTCCATAGAAAGCTTTTTCTATTGAGCTTTATTTACTCCAAGTCTACAGAAATTTATAGAAAATAAAGCTTAATTATCTATTTTCTAAATGCAGTACTCTTTTGTAAGCATTTTACACTTAGTCTATGTTCATGTTTTATAAAATCCACATTCATAAATTTAAAGATGACAATAAAAATGAAAGGAACTGTATATATCTCTGTTTTGCACAGAAAATGACTTGCTTGTTGGACTAAATATTTCTGACACACTATTTGGGTTTTTTTTTAGCATTTCCTTCCCTTCACCATTCTTTATTGATTTATATACTCAAGTGTGTGGCTGAGAAATTTCATATATGTGTTTTTAGCTGAAATAAATAAATCTCACCCAGGTAACACTTCATTTAGCCTTAATTTAAATATTTTGAGTGTCATATTCTAAGCAAAGTTTAAAATTAAATATGAAAAAGATGCTATAAAACAGTGATTAAAATAAGGATTTCAAATCTTCTAGGGCAAATAAAATTTTAAAATGCATAAAAATTTATAGGTCAACCTGTCACTTCTTTTGGAATTTCCCTTTATTATCTAACTGGACTTAAAAATGAAAAATAGAAATTCAACATTTTTTGAAGGACTCAATTAGTAAAATTACCATTCAGTTATTTAATGAGTATTTATTGAGCACCTACTATCTTTTACATACATTGGTTGGCCCTGGACATAGAGAGAAAAAAAAAAACTCAGTTCCTATCCTTAGGTTGTTCACATTCTACAAAGGAGCCAGATCCATATATGCAATTACAGTAGAGTGTGATGACACTGTAATGAGAGAAATTAAGATTGCCACAGAAGCACATAGGAAAGAGAACTGTCTCATTCTATTAAGTGGAGGTGAAGGAGATAGGGAAAGCTTTCTGAGTTCATGAAAACGAGTCCTCAAAGTAGAGAAAGGTGGGGCAAACACCGCAAGTAGAGGGAACAATATATGCAAAGATGTAAAGTTGGGAGAGAATATAGACTCTACAGTTACTTTAGGTGTTTGGCAAGAGAGGGAGAGGGACCAGAAGAAGGGTCTTGTGGGCCATATTCTGGAATTTTGGCCATTCTCAGAATAAGGGATTACTCTTAATGTAATGTTTAAATCAGGGCTTCTAACATGATCAACTTTTGGTGTTAGGATCCCAACTCAGACAGCTGTGTAGAGTGACCTTGGAGAGTTGATGTAGGAGATAAGAAAACCAGTTAGGACAGAGTTGGTAACTACAGCCCATAGGCCAAATCTGGTGCGTCATCTGTTTCTAAAGTGATCCATGAACTAAGAATTTTTTTTTTTTTATGTAAAGTAATTAGCCGCCAACTAATAAAAATAATTGAAAAAAAAAGAATTTTTTTTAATGACTGGGAGGAAAAAAGAAAAATAATATTTTATGACACACAAAAATCATAAATAAAATTTTATTGGACACAGCCATGATTATCCTTTGTGTATTATGTGTAGTATTTCCATGGCAGAATTGAGTATGACCCTCAAAGCCTAAAATATTTATTATCTGGCCCTTCATAGAAAAAGTTTACAGCCCCTCAGTTGGAATCTTGTTTAACTCAAGAAGTCAAGAGAGCTTGAACTATGCTAGGATCAAATGTATATTTAAGGAAGGTAATTGAAAGGCACTGTGAAAACAGATTGGTTGTGGAAGAGATGATTGGCAGGGACTCCAATTAGAATATAAGTACAGTAGTAGTCCTCAGCTGTGTATGCGCCAGGAAAATGGAAAGGATATAGTATCTTCAGGAGGCATTTAGGGTGATGATAAGAGAGACTGGAATTAAAGATGATTCCTGACCTAGAAGAGGGGGGTGTGGGGAGGGAAGGGATATGTGTATAATTATGACTGATTTGTGGTGTTGTACTGCAGAAACTAACATAAAATTGCAATTTTCCAATTAAAAAATTGAAAAAAGTTTAAAAAGATGATTCCAAAGCTTCTAGCCTGTGTTAAGTAGATGATCCATTAATTCAACTGGGGAATGTTAAAGGAGTAGCAGAGGAAAGAATATGCTTTATTTTGGAACTCTGATGAAGATGTCCAGTGTAGATCCAATGTGAGGAGAAAGATCATGACAGAGGTTTAGATCTGGATGCTTTTACGTAAAGATATTGTAGCCAAAGGAGTGGGTAGAAGCACATAGAGAGGACCGTGTTTTTAAGAACCGTGGAAGAATAGCCAAGGGCCTTCAGTGTATAAGAAAAGAAGAAAGTGTGGTTCAGGTATACTTTTGGTGAAGTAACAATTAAAACCATACACATGTTAACAAGGGATGGGGAGCATGTATCCTCGGATTGATAAAACTGAGTTTTGGTATCTTCACCCAGGCATTCACTGTCTTTGCAATTTTTGACAAATTACTTAATTCTTTGAACCTGCATACTCACCTGTAAAGTTAGATTAGACAAGATGATTTCTAAGTTTTCTTCCAACTCTGATAGTCAAACAGCATGAGTTAAGACAATGCATTATTAAATTCCTGTTTCTGGGCATTAGGTGCTTAAATTGCTTGGAATATCCTTTGCTCAAGATGTTTCCTTAGTTTGTGAAGTTCAGAGAGATTTCATGGAAATGTCCTTCATACCACCATTAACATTCATCATAATTTAGGCTCTGGTGACTCCTCTTAAGGGTTATGAAAATACTCTTCTAACACCCTTCCAATCTCTTTTGCCAGCCACTGCTGTGTACATTCATGAACACTGTCTTGACTCGGTCACGGAATCCCATGAACAGAGGAGCCAGGAGGGCTACAGTCCACGGGGTCGCAAAGTCAGGCATGTCTGAGTGACTGAGCACGCATGCACACATGACAGGCCCCCAGCCTTCCAACTTGATTTCACTGCTACCAGTTCCACCCTCTCACATGCTTATTTCCAGCATGTGATTTAAGCAGATGCAGACCTCCTTTGACTTTTGGTCTCTCCTCTCCTTTCACTGCTCTGTAAACCCTGAATACCCCTTTGAGCTTCTTTAGCTCTATTATAATCTTCTTTTCCAGGTTTCCCTGAAATCCTAATTTTTTCACTGTAGTCCTCCCTGAGGACTGGTGCTAGAGGGAGCACATCTCCCTCTGAATCCTCCTTCCCACTGAGAGCTGAAGGCACTTGCTACTACTAAACAAATTCCTCAAAACAGGGAAAATGAACATCTGAA